TTACGCAGGCGAATTTCGAGCGTCTTCTTTTGTTAAAGCTGGCCACTCCCATCTACTATCTCCTTTGTAGGTATTTAGTAGTGGGGCTGGAGTAGATGGTGGTGGGGGGAAGAGATCTTCTCTAAAGGCTTGGCATTTTTCTCTAAAGGTCTCCTTGCCTTTCGTCGGTTCTCCTAGATAGCGTGCTTTTCTAGCGGTTTCCAGAAAACTCGAAGTTGGTGTGCTGTGTTAGAGTTCTTAGAAGGTATGCAATATAAGCTCCTCTATGCTTGCCAATAATAATTATCTTAAGAGCGAGACAACAACCGAGCTATAGAACACTAAATCTTCAATACAATTATTTCTATATATTCCCATCGCATTCTAAGCCGTCTGAGGTTTATAGCTATAAAATAGGGTACTCCTAGATAGCCTCTCAGGGTTATCTTAGGCGAAGCTATCAATTCTCTCAAGCAAGTCGATTATCAAACTCTAAACAGCCTACCCTTCAGCTTATCCACAGAAAAAGCTAAAGATATTATTAGACTAGCTGACTCATAGGCCAAGCATTAGAAGTTGGCGGAGTTAGGAAATCTAGTGGAAGGCATCTACCAGTTAAAGCAGACCAGAGATCTTCAAGCCCTGCTAGACTCGATACCAAATCGTGCGATGTGCCCAAGTTTAAGGCAAAACCTATTCAACATCATCAAGAAAGTGTCGAGATATCGAGAGGCTGCACGATTTCTATATCGTACAGCCAGAAAGATTCCCTTATTGCGGCGAGCGAAAGCTGTACTCGTCAAACTACCTAAAGAGATTTTCAATCGAGTTTCGAGCGAAAACTATACTCCACAGCTCACATCGACGATCATAAGAATCAACACAAATTGCCAAGGGCCAGATGTCCGCTACCTCAGTGGTCTCTTTAAGAGTACGCTTAACTATAGCCTTCTCTTCTAGTTTATCTAGGCGCTTTAAGGGTGGGATACAGTCGCGTCGAGAGTGCTTTCCAGCGCGTCGGTCTTGGAGGGTAGTTCGTGGCACGTTGTAGATAGAGGCAGTACGTCTCTAGCTTTCAACGCGTCGAGATTGGATATCAAAAAGGGCAAGCTGTAGATCTGATTCAGGATAAGTTGATAGATGATGGCGTTGTTGAGGCATTACGCGTTATTGTGTTGAAGTTGGTGAGGTAGTGGGGTGTGGCCGACTCATTTGGGTGGCCGACTCACTTGTGAACCACGTTATCAAAAACGAAATCAGATTTATAATAAAGTTTGAACATAAACTCTAATAAATAAGTAAGCTTATAGAGTGGATAACAGTATAAACCTTATCAGATGGAGCAAACTATAATCCAACTATAACTACACCTATCATTGGCCATTCCTATAAAGAGGTGTTACTTAGTAGAAGTATATCAGATGAGTTGCAAAGTTTAATTACATTCCCTGATAGTATAGAGTTTTTATATAAAGGAGTATTACATTAGGTGCACAGATATAAATAATCAGAGTATTCCTTCTCCAACGTTTGGAAAAACCAATTGTTCTGAATGTTCCTTACCCAACATACAATTGTTTGATGTCCATTTCAAAATGAAGGTTTTCATTATTGGGTACCTATACCTAGCCACTGCCCTTGTTCATGCATGTGTTGATCCTAAATCAGGACAATGCTTTAGCTATGCCGGTATGTACTCATCTCTATATATTGAACATCAACTAATATACTGTATTAAGCGGAATGTATGAAATCTGAGGACTTATGTTGCTGCCCCTATAAATGCGTGAAGCATTATGTAGGCTTTAAACCATATACATTCTGCGCTTAGTGTAAGAATTGGGGGCTACTGTAACGTCGCAAGCAAAACTACCTGGATCAGTATCGGCAGCAGTGTCACTCAGAGGCATATGGGAGTGTGTGGGACAACAGATGAGCCTTGATTCGGATAGACACCTATAGGCCTTGTACGAAAGGATATCAAAAGTCTACAGAGTTAGCTACAAGAAATGTCTCTATATACCTGTCCTAGTCGGGTCCGAGTCGGATCCGACTCCTAAAACGATGAATGCTGTCGAGAGCGGTGGATACTTCCTCCGATCCGGCTCTGGATTAGGTTCTGGTACTTGGCAGAGATGTAACATCGTTACACTTAGCTTAGGCAACCTAGCGTGAACGTACAGGAATCAAGGGCGATGGACGGAAGCCGAAGAGCTAGAGGTGCAAGTGATGCAGATGAGGAAGAGAGTGCTTGGCGACGAGTATCCTGACACGCTGACTAGCATGAACAATCTTGCCTTGGCGCTGCAATCGCAAGCTCGCCGCCAGGAGGCTCTTGCACTGATGGAAACATGCTTCCAATTGCGCCAGCAAGTCCTTGGCGAGCAACACCATAATACACAGTCGTCGTTCGACACGCTGCATAGCTGGCGAGCGGAGTGTATTAATGAGAACCTGTGACTTTATCTGCGTATGTAATGCAAATTTTAAAGCTACATCCTACAACTGACTTATAACTTTTGAAATCAACTAACTTTATAGTAATACGTAGTAGTGAATCCTGATAACTCTAGATAATTTTTGAAGGGGTTTAGTCCGCTCTGCATTATAAATATATGTAGCGTGGTAACGAACCTTGTGCTAGAAGTGGGTGCCAAGTATAGCTGCCTACAAATTAGGAATAAGAGCTGCCTGAGGCAAGGGTCTCAGTGCCAGGTCCTTAGCCACAGCACGTAGTCCTGCTCGCAGACATATCAGCACGCTACTGCTGCAAAATGCCGCTTAGGACGCACGGCCGATCACATGCGTTTCGACCATCTTGCCGTCCGCACGGAGTGAGTTGTATTTAACGTCTATATATAAAGCCTCCCTTGGGGCATGTAGACGGGCTATGCCTATGGCTTACCGTACTTTGCCTAGGATGCCTATTCTTATTTACATGATTGTAGTGATCTAGTAGTGGTCGTTCCGCCTGTTGATCGCCAGTACAATGTGCAGTAGGCGTGTATCCGCCTTTAGTTGTTGTAGCTGATGCTTACTAAGGAGTGTGTAGTATAGATGACATAGGAAAGAGAAGAGAAGAAAAAAAAAGAGAGAAAAGAGAGAAAGAAGATAAAGAGATAGGAAAAGGCTTGCAAGTATAGGCTCTAGTGAGGCCTACATATGGTGCTATAGAAACCTGTGACTTCTAGGAAAGCGGCAAAGTCCTCTGGCTCTTCCCAGAGCTCCTGGAGGTACTTGATTGCTTCGCTAGGTGTCCCAGGCGGTGCTGGTGGCCGTCTTGGCCATCGCCGGAAGACATTTGCTGTTGTGGTTTTCCGGCATAGTGCGATATGCAAGGGGGTCTTTGGGCGCCCGCAGGAGCACTTCAAAGTCGCGTTGTCATGGTGGAACTTCCGGTGGTACCATGCAAAGTCTCCATGGCTTGTTCGGATTGCCAGCAGTCTTGCTAGGGTTGGGCGTGTTAGCTCTAGCTCTTGGGGAGATCGGGTGGGCTGGTACGGTAGCTTCCACTGGGTGTACCAGTTGGAAAGCTTGCTCTTGGCGCTATTCCACCAAGCTGCTCTAGCTGTGGCTAGTTGTGCCTTCCTGATCGTGCGTATACCCGATACTGTTGGTTGTGCTGCTAGTCCAAATGGAGTGGAAGGTTCTTTCGCCTCCGCATCTGCGAGGTTGTCTGCTGCTTCGTTGCCTTCGATGTTAGTGTGTCCTGGTGCCCATCGCACCTTAACGTTAGGCATTGTATCCATTATCTCCTGACATTGAAGAAACGCCCATTGCGAGGAGTCTGAGGCTGTTCCGCGTAGACACCAGATTACTGAAGTGCTGTCTATACACATATAAACTGCCTCTGTTGGTCTTGCTATCTGGGCCGCGTGCTGAAGTGCTCTGCATGCCCCAATCGCTTCGGCATCGAAAACATGTGAAAGCGGGTGGAGAGACCCGCGTCCTGTGGCTATCTTTTCCTGGGCCCGGTATATGGCATACCCATAGGTGACTCTCTTTTTCCCTTCACAGCGCTGCTCCGATCCATCAGAGAAGATTGTGATCGTGCTGCTATCTAGAGAGGCCCACCATTCTTTGAATTCTTTCGCAGCTGTTTTCTTCTCTATTCCTAGCGTTGGATCTGTGCGGCACCCTTGCGAGAAGTGCGGCGCTATTAGAGCTGGCCGGGGGATAGTTGGCAGAAGAAGGCCTAGCCTCTGGATCTTAGTTCTTGGTTGTTGCCTCTCCCCTACTCTGGTGCCAGACTGATTGTGTGGTACGATTGCTCGGTGGGTGAGAGGATGCTGATGGTCTATTGTCTGAAGTCGCAGCGCGAGACGCCACCTAGCCTCTTCAAGTGCGACTTCTGCTGACGGTATCCCAGCTTCTCTAAAGAGAATTGGAAGGGGTGTTGTTTTATATACTGGCAGTACTGCTCTTACAGCCTGTATAAGTATGGTTTGGATAGCTGTAATATGTTGTCCAACCCTTGTGCTGACAGAGATAGGGTTGTCTTTCCTCCTTGATCTCGGGTTTCTTGTTCGTCCTTCATACCAGGCCTCTGTTCCGTACAGTAGTGAAGGTAATACGCATGTTGTGACTAGTTTTCGCATAGCGTCTGGGGGCGGGCCATGAGTTGTATTCGCAAGGCCTCTTAGGTGACTAGCAAGCTTCTTGGTGGCTGCTGCTCTATAGGCGACATGGTGCTTAAAGCTAAGCTGTCGGTCAAACCACACTCCGAGCCATCGTAGTGCGGTCTGCGATCTGTCTGCAGCTGGCGCAATTGGTTCTAGCGTTGCTGCGTCGGGTAAAGATATGCTTGGAGAGTAGCTGTCTTGCTGGCGGGTAATATGGATCGCCTCTAGCTTCTCTGGGGCAAAGGTAACCTTGTTTTGTGCACCCCACTGGTTGATTGCCTGTATATCTTCTGCTAGTAACTGGACATTTTCGTCTAGGGTTTTTGAGGCTCTGTAGATATTGATGTCATCCGCATATCCGAAACGTAGCGTTCTGTCCTGATTCAGAAGCTCGGCCAGGTATAGCGTGTAGAGAATTGGCGATAGCGGAGATCCTTGTGGTGTGCCGCAGGCTACTAGGTGGCGTGGTGTAATCTCGTTGTCTAGCCGCACCTGTACATAGCGCTCTGATAGGAAAGAGTCAATAAACCGGACACAAGCTGGTGGCCAGCCCTGCTGAGCCATCCGGTGTAGCAACCGGTTCTTGAGCAGCGCGTCGAATGCTCCCTGCACATCCATCGTGACCATAGTGACGCGTTTGCCTACTGCCAGAGCCTGTTCTACGTCGTGCGTGAATGCCGCTACAATGTCCATAGCCGATCGCTTTGGGACCGCACCTACGTGCTGTGGGCTGATGATATCATGCGTCATTGCTGTTGTAGCTATTCTTCTTGCCACTAGGCGTTCTAGCCCCTTGCCAATGCATGAGAGTAGGGCTATCGGCCGCATTGACCGTGCTGACGTCCGGTCTTTCTTTCCGGCTTTTGGTATCATTGTTACTTCTGCTACACGCCAGCAGCTTGGGTAGAACTCTAGCTCTAGGCATCTCTGATATATTGCGCGAACGAGGTTCCTGATATCTTCCCAGCACGCCTTTAGTAGCCGTACCGTTATTCCGTCCGCACCTGGCGATGTGCTAGCTACGCCAATAGCATAGCGCTCTGCTTCTTCAGTCGATACCTTAGTGTCCCACGGTAGGGGGTTTTGAGTGTAGTTTTCTGCTCCTGGTGGTGCTGGCAGATCATCTGCGTTGTTGAATCGGTCCAGTAGTTCTCTGCGCAGGGCCTCGGCCTTCTCTGCAGTATCTGTGATAGTTTCACCATTTACCACTAGTGGGGAGTCTTGTTGGTTTGGTTATAGCTTGTGCCATCTGGCTAGGCTGTAGAGGTCTGAGTCTGTCTTGATTCCGTCTATCCGGCCTCGCCAGTAGGCCTTCTTTGTTCTGCGCACTGTCTTTAGGAACTCTTTGGTTGCCTCTGTTGGTGGAGTTCCTATTCCCGTATGGTCTCGCAGGTGCCGTCGGTACGCTGTCTGGCATTCTGTCGTCCACCATGGCGCCACTTTGATTTGTTCCCTCTCTCTAACCCCTGCTGTCTGGATTGCCTCTTCTATCGCTTGTGTAAGGTCCTGGATTATTGTTTGTAGTTGGTTTTGGTTGCTGGCTCTTGCTGGATCCCTAATACCTATAATATTCAGGCCTACTAGCTTTGTGAACCTTTCTAGGTGTCTCTCTAGTACTTTGTGCTTCTTTGGATCTTCTGCTGCTAGTCCGCGGGCTGGTAATGTCGTGACCTGTGTTGCGTGGTCTGAGCCAGAGTGCATGTCCGGCCGTACCACTGTGTCGGCAAAGGGAATGTTTGAGAATGTTAGGTCTATTACGTGGCCAGCTCGATGAGTTGGCACTCCTGGCTGCCCGATGAAGTCCATGGCGTGAGTCTGGGCCCAGCGTGCGAGCTCTGACCCGCCTCCTGTGGTCACCGAGCCAGGTTCGAAACTCTCGTGTCTTGCATTCATATCCCCTCCAATAACGCATCTGCTTGGTGGTGTCAGTTCCTGTATGTAGGTGACTGCTGGTTCTGGTGCCTCTCGGTTCTGATACACGTTAAGTATAGCGTATCCGTTCACTTCTGTCCAGAGTATGTCTCGCGTGACTCTAGGTAGCACTTTGGCCCTTAAATTAACGCCCTTGCGGGTGTAGGTAAGCACCCGTGGTCTTTCGTTCTCACGTTCCTCCCTGCTATCCCATGCTATCACAGGCGCGTGCATGTGGTACCCTGGATGATTTTTAGTTACGGTTCCTGGTAGTGTCCATGGCTCCTGGATGCATATCACGTCGATGTTTTCATCTGAGGCGCGGCACAATATAGTGTCGTGGCATTCTGAGGCTTTGCCCACGTTTGCCCATGCTATTCGTAGCTGCTTCCAGCCTGGGCAGTGCTGCCCGTTGTGTCGTATCGGTTGACGTCCTACCATTGCAGTGCGTCTTCACTCATTTCTGTATCTTCTATAGTAGAGGATAGGCCAGCCTGTATCATGGCTTCTGTCGGTGTGGAAACTGTCTGCTCTGTCCTTAGGCTTCTTGTTGAGAGTGCTGCTAAACTTAGACTCTCTCTTGGGGCTGCAGCACGGCGTGGGCGACGGCTCTGAGGGTTCTGGGATGTTGTAGTTGTGACTATAATTGTATCCGTGTCTATAGGCGTGATTACGGCTGTAGCGGTATCTGTTCCTGTTAGTGTCTCTTCTTGTTGGGCTCTTTTTGCTTGTCTTGATTGCGTAGCTCGCAGTGGCGGCTGCTGGAGCGTAAGTGGACTATTTTGGCTTAGCTGTTCTTCTGCGATGACAATAGGCTCGGCAGCCGTGTCTCCTTTGTCCTGGTTCTGGCCGGTTCTTTGGTAGGCACGATGTCCAGCTCTGCGTACACTCTGCAGCTGCTTGCTTGTTAGCCGGATAAGCTTGCCTTGGTAGTAGTATGGTTTCGCTGGACAGTTTTTATCCGTCGCGGCGTGTGGTCCATGGCAGTTAGCACAGCGGGCTCGCTGCGTACAGCCTGTACCTATGGGCCCGTTATGCCCTGCCGCCAGCTGGCCGCAATTGTCGCAGCGTGCTGCACGCGTGCACCTAGACGTGTTGCAGTAACCCTGACATCCGTCGCCAGCGCGGAGAAACTGCCGGGACGCACACTTCTCACGTTAAGTAGACTCTTTGAGTGTGCAGTCTTAATCTTTGCTATCTTGGCTTTCTTTTTAGCTCGCCGAACTATGTAGAAGCTTATACTACCGCGAACAAACAAGGGGGTATTAGAGGAGAGTCGATAGACGGCACCGATAGGATGAGCGATAGCGTGGTCAACAATACGCCTCTCAGCGTCGGAGGCTAATGCACTAGAAGAGCAAGAACTATAAAATAGATGCACGCTAGACCTATTTATTTATAGGCATAGTTGGTACAATCCAGGCACCCGAAAGAAAAAGTGTCCCGTTACACCGTGCGTCCCGGCACGTAGAGATGGACGTTACCTAGCTAACGTCCATCCTTGCGTGCCGAAAAACCTTAGGTGCCAAAAACGACCAATCGGATCGCGACGTTTAGAGGGAAGTCCATGATCCTTGCGATCCGATTGGTCATTTTCGGCACCTAGGGTTTTTCGGCACGCAAGAATGGACGTTATATTTCCAATATTACCATCATTTGTTAAAAATATCCTTCATCTTCAGTAGTATAGAGGTCAGTATTTCCGCTTGTCAAGCAATTGACAAGTCGCGGGAGACCGGGGTTCGATTCCCCGCTGGAGAGATGCCTCATTTTTTTTTCTATTTTGAGGGTAATCAAGGTCATCGATCTTTCTTCCTACCTTCTCTCGAAACGAGTGAGGGTTTCTTTGTCTGTGAATTATTGGGTTTTTAATTATGAGTTTATTCATACACTGTATACTATCTTGGTATAACCTAGATACAAGCCCTCTTCATACCACGAGTGACCCACTGTGGGTTATTTGCAGATCGCTTCCGCGGAATAACAGGAAGCCGTTTTGCATTGACGGCATGATCGACAGTTCCATAAGGGCTATCAAGTTGCTGAGCGACAATAAGTTTCTGGATTGTAGTAGGAAAACCACTCAAGAGTAAAGACTTGGACGTTATACCACGGATCGAGATCGTTAACATCTCTTCTAGAGTCTCTACTCGGAAACTAATATGGCGCCGAAAAGGTGGTAGGCCTTGAGGTACGCACCCGCTCTGGACACAACTCACTGGAGTACCTTGGATTAAGAACCACGAGTTGGTACTAAGTAAGCGGTCATACAAGTAGCGCAAGCCGTCTGGGGGAATATCTAGGCGACAGAATATGAATCCGCTACAGTCATAACCGGCATTTCCGAGCGTTGGCAGGCCGTCCAACTCAAAATAGAACATGGATGCCATCATAGAGTCAAATATACTAGATAGTCGTGGTGACTCTTCGGCAATAGCTTGCACTACCTTGCTTTTGAGTTCTGGTATCACGACTATGTCATCAAGACTAGGTTCAGGGCCAGCCAGTCTGATGTTAAGACGATGAAAGCGCTGTCGTACATCTGGTGATATCGAATTCAAAAAACGTTTCCATGCGTCTTCGCCGTCAAGGTTGCGCATGAAGCTTTTAAACAACCGTATATAAAAGCGTGATATTGTTGGTGATTTACTGGCCACAGTGGGTGATGAAGTTCCCGTTCCTAGCGAGAGCGCGAAGTCTGGTTGGGGTTTATTCGGCCATAAGAACTGCATCTCCCATTGCGCAATGCTAGCTGGATTATTATGTTGTAATCCACCATCTTGAAACGCTCCTAATGATCCTACAACCTGAGGTTTGAAGAACCTAACATAATAAGCAAATGAACTGATATCAGAGCTGTTATATTTACCAAGGCGCCGCAGAGGTACAGCATGCACTGGGAACGTTAGTGAATCATGACCAGAAATAAAAAAAGACACGCCTCGCTCACAGTAACATCACTGTCGGCCCGATCGGCTCGTATAACATCATATCCTGCCAGAGTCAATGGCTGTTATATTGTCTGGCTGGATGACAAACCTATGTTATTAGATCTTTTCCCGCCATTGTAGTTTGTGAAGAGCCAAGGCAAAGAATCTTTGACTGTCGTAGTCGTGACAGCAACCTTGGTATCGTTTTTGAGTGGATTGAACATCTGCAGCGGGGAGTTGAAAGCTTTCCTGAAAGCATCTTGTATCGCTGCTAAACTGTACTGACCATCTTGGACGTAGCCCACGATTAATTGGAGAGCTCTCGTGACTAGTGCTTTTCGTCTTCCAAAGGTCTTACTTGCTACATCTTCAAATCTTTCCAACGATTCAGACGCGCTCCATTGTAGCAGAAACATGCCAATCACTACAAGTCCACCTGTTCAAGTAAGTAAAAGGTATCTGCCTAAGCGTGAGCTGGGCTGTTACCTGCTGATGTACCGCAAACAAAATCAAAATGATCTTTGACGGAGCAACAAAATGGAGCAAGTAGCGAATCAATATGCTTAAGAAAAGCCAAGGGAATGACACCCCGTACACCTCCACCATCTACACTAAGTATCCGTATTCCTGCAGTGGGAGGTATGAAGCGAAATGTTGAGTTACGGTAATTAACACCGCATAGAATGCACTCAGGAACATCGTATGTATTTTTCTCGAAACGCGAGCGTATACCCAAAGCCCTAATACACGGATCGCAGAGAGCGTGTCCGCATGGCAAGACTTTCTCAGGCATTCGCATGAAGCAGCTGAAGCATGATCGATGGCTTCTGAACTCAGCTAGATTAGCATGATGGGATGCAAGCGTTTTTCGATGACACTCGCGAGAAGGTAAGTCATTGACTTCATAGTCGGCGAACATTGTACGGAATTCGGTAAGTATGGCAGTCACAAACTTCTTCTGGATATCTGCGAAAGGACTATACGAAGATATCGCGGTACGGCAGGGTGTAGAATAGATATTCTCGAAAAGATAGTCTGGCGCAAAGTCTACTGTTGTAAGTGATCGAAAAACATCAAGATAAGTAAGGGGGTTACCATGTGCACGTGGGGGATAGCTAGCGAGCAGCAGAGCGGATGCTATCAGTGGTGCTGCAAAATGCCAAAGCCAGGCTTGAGAGGGCATTTGCTTTAGAAAATCCTCTATGCAATACTGCAAAAGATTACAAGAGAATCCATCGGGCCTAGTCGCGTCGACGAGACTGAACGGCTTTGGAGCATCGCCACAAAGCCAGCGCAAAATTTTAGGGGTTAGATTGCGAAAGTGTGAGAAGCTAAACTGGACATGAGAGTTGGCTCGCTCGAGCATCGCAATTCGCGATAGTGCCAACAAACGTCGCTTTAATGCTCGCGCGCGAGTAGCCGTAGATTTTGAAGACTGTAACCCTAGGACGTTGATCTCACCAAGAGGCGGCTTTGTGGCAAGTTTCGCATTCAGATAGCCTATCTTACCTCCCAAAGCATCCATTACAAGGGTTGTAGCTTTGTTAGCAGCAATGCTCTCATCAAACGAGTCCGACGATGTTTCCATGACCAACAAAATGTGGGGTACTGTGCGCAAGTCAGATGCCGGCATCGCGACAAGCTGCTCAGCGAGCCAATCAGCGACAGCTGCAGGCCCACCAATGTCGTCAACAAAACAGCAGATCACACTCGAAAACAACGAGAAAATGCTCCCACATAACGTTGCGCTGATGTTTGTAGTGTCGGGAACTGTCAAGACTGTCGTATTTCTTGTTTGGCGGATGGGGTTGGGGTCCGGTGAGTTCGTGTTTTGGACGTTACAGTCGATGACAACGATTGGTGTGTTGCCGCCTCGCAGCCGTGGCGAACACCAAAGATATATTTGTTTATGGACAGGTACATCTGCATTCTTACCTAGTATATGACCTAGGAGAATCGCTTTCGATCTTTTTCCTAAAAATGTGATGTAGGATGGTTTGGCGTCTCCCTTGACATTCTTGATGATATGCTGACATGGTTCGTGATATGTCAAAGTGTTCCCCTTACAAGAGGTGTCATAGGTAATCCACGGAAGAGAGTCCATTTCCTGCTAGAGATGGCTTAGAAAATGGCATTGCTTTTATGTCGGGGTCTCCAAGATACTGTTTTTGGTTGTCCGATCTTAGATATGCCCCGGAACCGGTAAACGGTTAACCAACTCTTGAACTGAGGTAGCCGCCACTAGAGAAAGCAAACAAAATCTGCTTCTTTCCTAGCTGTAATATGTTTCCGACATACTGCGGGAGTCATGGAAGTTTCTGAAGATATCACCTTAGCTACGCATAAAGCAAATTGCTTTCGAGGTCTAGTACGCGTGCGTCTTGACTGTCTACAATTTGAACACCAGCTGTTCTTGAACAAGCATCGCGAAGCATCTCCTCAAAATGTTCGCAGACTCCAAAAGATCTTCGAAAAGACTGGATGCCTGAGACTTCAAGATGAGAATGTTATTGATGCCGTCGTAGAGGATGCGCGTCTCGACGCAGCGCTACGTGCTATTGGTCTTTCTATTGAAGCTCTACAGAAGGTCCGCTCGCCAAAAGACGCTCCAACTTTACACCTCAGAGAACTGAAATGTCTCAATGGATTGCATCGCATAAGAGCAGCGGATCAGTTCCTGGATGAGAATGACAAGTGGTGGGTCGTGAGATTGTTCTCGAGTGGTCTGTAAATTATTATCCTCTGGACGCATCTAGTAACACTACAACAGAATCTCCAACTCCTATTCTCTTTCACATGGTTGATTCATATATAAACGAACAAAAGCCGTCAGACGGTGAAATTTTTCGCAGGATACGGTTGTATCGCCTAGAAAACAAAGTCGAAGCAGAAAGAAAATGGTGGGCAAGGCTTGACAATTCAAAACCTAAGGATCTTCGCCAGCTGTTCAAAAGGAGGGAGATTATATCTGGATTTGACAGGCTCCTTGAAATGCCAGGCCTATGGGCGAAAGTACAGCTTGGTGCTCTCCATAGACTTCTTACCTTGAAGTGCGACGAGGTATGTTTTTCTCGAAATCCCACATTCTAGCTAACTGATATAGGAGATGGCAAACTATCTTAGCCACATATCAAAGGTTTGGACAAAGATTTTGACTTGTAGAAACGTTACTCTGCCATTTTCTGCGGTCGATACGATTACTGTAGAAAGTCTCGAGTCATTAGCACCTAAGCATTCTTCCATTGACAAGGCATATGTTCTTGATCTGTTCAAGCGAAACATAATATTTCCTTCCCAGTTGGATAGTGGAATTCGTCAGGAACTAGCAGAAAACGTATGCGCTTCTGAGGGCCTTATACCATCGCTTTGGACATTCTTCGAAACACTCAAATATATCGAACCCATATGTGAGATATTGAAGAAACTGGTGGGCAGTAACATGAGGCGTACTATACGATCGAGTTTAATGGGCCACTACTTTCCCCCGGAGAGGAGACATATCCAAGTTTCAAAACTCAGAGAGGCTGAGATCACATCATTATTGAGTCGAGAGGAAGCGGCCTGGATCTCATACGTGGAATTGTGGGCCTTCTGTGGTCGTTATTTCGCCAAGCTTACTTCCTTTACACCAAAAAAGGAGAGCGGTGAAGTGAAACCCGTAGTAGAAGGACCAAACCCAGTGCTCTGGAGACACCTGGCAAACTTCTCTGTCTCGCGTGGCTTCAAGACAAAGCCTGCTGAGAAGTTGGCGAATTCCGATCCTTATACTGAGCTCGCTCACGAATATCTTCGTAAATCAAGCCCATTGTCCTCACTATCTTGTGAAAGACAAATTCAGGAGGTCTTACGCGCTAGCCGAATAGTGGACGATGATTCACAGCAGCCACAGTCAGTATTGTCTGGTCACTTAGAGAAAGAAAGGCGAAGTGGTCGACCTTATGAGAACGTCTTGCGTATGGATGAGCGGAACCTATATCTCCCAAACATATATAATAGCGAGGAACCTGTGGAAGCTAATTGGACATTGATACGACGCGACATGTTCCATTCTCTTTTTGGGAAACTTGTTGTCAAGGTACGGATAGTGGCTGGGACTATACATTTCGTATATCTGACATGTAGTAGCACAGTGATATTCAGCACCCTATATTTGTAAACGGTTTCAGTTCTAATACCGATGAGATGGATCTAGAAACAGGAGATATACATACGCCCAATGAGATAGAAGGCTTGAAAATGGAGATAGAAACCCTTCGTCGCGATCATAGCGACCTCCTATTACAGCTTGAAAATCTACAAATGCGTCACCAGAACCTTGAAACCGAAAAACTGGATCTCCAGCAAAGATGCCAATTTTTTCAAGACCAAGGAAACACCGATAAAGATTTCATATCTTCCCTCCAGTCTAATGTTGAAGCTCTTCAAAAACGCAATAAGGAGCTTGAAGCCGAAAACTTGGATTTTAATCAGAGATACCAATCTCTACAAGACCAAAGAAACGGGGAAATAGATGCAATATCTTCCCTAGCGTTGAAACAACATGAAATAGAGCACCTTCGAGTCGAAAATGACACACTCAATAAGAAAATCGAAACATTCGAGACTGCAGTGCAGCAGAGAACCCAGATAACGCAAAACTCTCAGGCACTTGTACTCAAACTCCGGAAAGATTTACAAAAACTGGAAAGCAAGCAAGCCGCTACTCAAAATGAACTTGCAACACTCAGGAGTGATCATTCTAGGCTTCTAGAGGAAAACCGAGAGCACAAGAATACTATACAGACTGCGAATGAGCAGCGAAATGCTGTAATTCTTCGGCATGAACAATTATTTGCTCAAACCATACCTACCGAACCTGAATACGAAGACCCCAAATGCGCTTTCTTGAACGACCTGAGGGAACGCGAATTACATAATCCATGGAGACCGTACGGTGGAGATAAATATGAGATATTCCTTGCTGAGTCAAATGATGATACTGGCTTACCTAAAGGTACACCAATTGAAGTGGACAAAGATGAGACTGAGGCTGTTCCAATCATTGTAGCGATTATAGGAGCGGCTAGGCAATACTTTGGTCAAGATCTAAGGGCGATGAGCATTCAAGGAAAGTATCTCACCAATATTAGTCCTACATACATATTTGCAGCTTGCACTATGTATAGGACCATATTGATCAGTAAGGACGCTGTGCTAGAAAGATATGTGTCCACGGGCGCTTGTCAAGACGTCATCGCGAAACTTGGTGGAGGAAATTTGGAACTTGTAGGGGGCGCACAAAGACATATGATTGAAGAAGCAGACGGAACGAAGAAAAGAAGATTAGAGAACGACTTGAGTGGCAATGAGGTAGTTCCTAGAACTCAAAAGATGATCAGCGGAAACGGAACAGCAGACGTTGTGCCTTGACGGTGATGACAAGTTATAGAATATCAAAAACACATAGCAATCATCTTTAGACCAAAGCGCCTTGTCACGGCCTATGTTTGTTCAAAAAAGTCTTAGAAAGCTGATAATCTTGGTTCTCAACTAACTATGTAATGTACTAGTAACGCCGCTGTAGCATGTGCTGTTGTATTCTTACATACTGCCGTCATTGCTTTCTATTCGACGTCTCTTTGATGGCAACACGATATCTGTCCGGGGTGGAAGGGGGCTTAAATTTCGACTGAGACTAGCATGCGGTGTAGGATTTCCCCGGACATTCCATAAACCTATTTCATCCGAATCATCCCCGCCATCCTTTCCCTCTAAAGTATGTGCTGATTCGGGCGTTTGCGATTGCGGCAATGGGGGAAGTGAAGAAGACTGATTGGCTACCTTCACCCGACCTCTCGAAATACCCTCATTTAAAGATACGAAGTGAGACGGTCGCTTCACAATCGGTGCCTCGGTATCTACCTAAAGCAACCTTGTTAGTGACATATTATGATGGAAGAAACAAACACACATATTGTTCAATCCAACTCGGCCATTGAAAGCCTTGTTCCTCCGAGGAGAATACAACTGGTTGCTGGCCTGGTTTCTCGATAACAACGGATATCCGGATGCTACTGTCGATTGCATGGAGCTTTGCTGCTTTGCGACAAATACCGATGCTTCTATCTTTGAACGTGCGCATGAGATTTTGTGGAGTGTGTTTGGCCATCCTTGTGGTATTGTCGTGACTGGTTACAGGTATCAGGATAGCTGCAAGCAGTGGCAATATGTAGGGACAGATGATTGGATCACGTGTGCACTAAGGCAAGCACCAAAAGCAAAAGTGGGTCATAATCACCGGCTCCTGCATATGATTTGACCGTAACCGCGCCGCATAGGCGGCTATCAGGCGGATTGTGTCCCACGCTAAAAATAACCATGATACAGTAATAGTACGGCGGCTAACATGGCCTGTTTTAACCGCGATCAAAAGCGTGATTTAGAATACTTGTCTCCGTAACCGGTTTGCCGTGAACGGATCTCCGATGTTCTCGAAGCGTCGACCTATTCGGGTGAATTGCATGAGATAACCACAGCTACTAAACTGGTGGCTACTTTCTGCGTGCTTCACCACGGCGTCCAAAAAAGCGCACATGCGACTTTCGAAGTTCTATAGCATATTTGCGAGCGAATCTTCATCCTTACCACTGGAGCCAATATGCAGGTCCACTACATCTACGCGATCGCCTATATCTCTGTTCTTGCTTTTGTTATTAGTTGGCGGCTTTATCGATTTCTGATGGCTCGAGCACGTGACCATGTATTTTCCGTTCTCTCCAAATGGCTTGTATACACAGTCATTCTGAGAAGAGTGAATGGAAGCTCAGACATCACAGTCGCTATGGCCTTCGCAATACTTTGTATGCTAGTCGGAAATGTTGTCAGCACAGTTATCGCTGTAACGTCTCAAGCCGACCTTTCTATACGACTTGCTCGGCTATGCTTAACAAACCTTGTTGTTCTCTTTTTTGGTGGAAGAACAAACTTCATCGCCGACAAAATTCTTAGGCTATCACACAACGATTATTACCTTGTACATCGTTGGATAGGGCGTATCTGCGTTCTTGAAGGTCTGATACATGGTGTCCTAAGCGCTCTTCAGCGTCGTAAGCCATTGCGCGCAATTGATATCACTGTGGGCCATCTTTTACAATATCTTGGTTCTTTTAAAGCTAATCTTTCTAGTTGGTTTCGCTCACTGGGACTATTGCAGTTTGTTCCATTGTGTACATTCGGCGCCGGCTGTATGAGCTGTTCCTACAACTCCATACGATCGCATCAGTGGCTCTTCTTGTTTTCCTATGGCTACATCTGAACAGGCCTGGTCCATACGTGATTGCTTGCATATCATCTGCAGCATCTATTTTCATACTTCAGAAGATCTTGTGGGTGGCTCATTGCATCTACCGGAACACAGGCTCAGGGCCTCGTTGCCAGGCTTCGATCACTCGCTTTCAATCAAATGGAAATCATAAAGAAGAGATTTATCAGGTTCGCGTCGACATTAGGCGACCATGGCATGTAACCCCAGGGCAGTTCATATATCTCTCTTTACCACACTCTCGTGGTCTCGGTTTGGGACTGCTTGAGTTCCATCCATTTATGATTGCATGGGCATTTCACGATGAGAAAGACCGATTGAAATCGATAGTGCTGATTGTTCAGCGTCGCCGCGGCTTTACACGCAAGCTAGGGTTTACTGGCACCATCATGCCTGCTATTGTTGATGGTCCTTACGGAGGTGTAGACTTTAAGGAGTTAGCTCGTTACGATAAGGTGCTCCTCATGTCTAGCGGTGCAGGCATCGCAGCTCATCTGTATATGACTCGCCATCTACTCCTAGCTCACAACCAACAAACAGCACGCGTGAGAAGGCTTACTCTCCTATGGTTTCTTGAAATGCCAGGTCAATATGAACCCACACTTTGGCTCTTTGCTTTACTCACATCATGTAGATCAAATGCAATGGGTAAAGGAGTTTCTTCATGCACTTAATCATCTAGATCATCGACAGATTCTGACTATATACTTATTATGTCCTAATGAAACAGATGGGGCGGCAGAAGGTGGATTTCATGACTCCAAAATTACTGAAGCGAGAATGTTTCCTATATTCGGCTCACTTGACATGGCCATGTTCATTGAGGGTGAATGGGGCGCTGAAGCGGGGAATATGCTAGTGACAGGTATGTCTTGAGTAACGGAGTTGCCAAATTGTTCTAATGGTGAATAGTATGCGGAGATTCCAAGTTTGAGATGCGTGCCAGGCTGGCCATTAGGGCTAGTCCTCACGATATAAAGTTCAGAACATGTGTTTATCTCCCAGACGAGACGTACATGAGCAAGATCTCGGCATCACGGTATAGATAAGTGGAACATCGCATCTCACATATATCTCCAAAGAATTTATATTGTGAAACATAAAGTAGCGCTAGCACACGTAGTATAAATATAGATACATCAATCTAGTTTCCACCCTCAGATTTCCTCCACACGATCGATACATCCCAGTATCCATGAAAGAAGAGCACCGACTGGCAAATGCAACCTGCAATCAATATCTCCGTACGAAAGAGTGCTCTGATGAATAGCCCAAAAGAACAATATCCTCTCGATGTCCTTTTTTGAGTAGATACGGTGGAGAGGCTGAATCTTCCAATCGCCCCGGCCATGATGGCATTCTTGGTGAACTTTGCTCCAATAGTTTCTTCCGTGGGAGCCAACTGTCATGACGGTTTGCACAGGGTCTTTTTCAACACCTGTCAAATTGTCCTCCACGCTCTTCTTTACCTCCTCAGCTATAGATGCACGCAGAGCCATGTTGGTCCTAGAAAAGTTGACGATGCTGTCCTTTAGGGCTTGAATCAACAGAAGTTCTCGGCGTTTGCGAAACATCTGGCGCGCTGGAGGCAGTGTTTGTGAGCTGTGCTGTTGGGATTCAGATTTCATTGTTCTCATGTATTTGGTAAATCCAGTAGGCGCAGGCAGGGTACGAGAAGAAGGAAACGGAAGGGACGTGAGATCTGATGAACTCGATGTGTTCATCTGTGGGGTGTGAATTGGCTGGAGTAAAACCGGGACGGGATCGCGATCATGGAGGGTCCTAGAGGCGAGTATAGAAGGAGCTGGTGAGTTTCCAAATTGAGTGAAGATTTCGCCTCTTTGTGAGCATCGCTTGACCCAAGGTGACGGTAGCGACTCTGTGTTGAGATTTTCTGACATTGTCGGTGATTTCGGAGGCGTCGTACTATCCTCTGCGAACTCTGATTTAAAGTGCATATTGATTGGAGACTTTAGCGCAGATGCTCCCTTCATGTTAGTCAACCTTATCAAACGACGTCTTTATACGTACCAGGTGTTTCCTTCCTTACGGAGTGGCGAGAGAGTGGCGAGGTCATTATGAATGTTGTAAGAATACTGTCCATGGGCTGGTATAAATGCTGCTCGTTTTGTTCTAGAGATAAATATGGAAGCAACTGGCGTAGACTCGTCAAAGCCCTTAAGCGCTGATGAACAGGTATAGACACAGCATAGAATGAACTTATGCAAAGCACAATTCACTCTCTCACTTCTCTCTCATTGAACTAGTATGCATTTTAACTAACGTCCTTCCCTACGTGCCGGGGAACCCTGTCGGTCAGAACAAGCCAACGAGATACTGCTCCTTGACGGGGATGGAAGCTGACTTTGCGCTCTCATTGGCTAGTTTCGGCCCATGAGGTTATCCGTCACACACGGAGGGACTTTGGTACAGCGCGGCAAACTTGTGGAGACCTCGCTAACTGATACTATTGGTTCAAAATCTCCCTGCAAGACGCTGCGGATTAGCCGCCGAGCGCAAAGTCAAGGATTGGCGCGATGATCCTGACCTAATGTGCCGAAAATACATACAAGTAGTAAGTTTGTGGCTAATCGCTCATAGCTGTGGTTCGACCAGATTGGCGCCAATTATACGCGCGTCTTAGCATACTAGTTCATCCGAAAACATGCCGTTAACCCGGATGTGATTACCCGCTGTGCCGCAGTGGAGCAAGCTTCACACACGAGACTTCTAATCAACGACCCAATTATGGCAGAGTATTTCTGCACGTCAAAGCTTTATGCACAATTTACCGTACGGCAAACTTATCCGATCCCTTACGGCCTTGTTGACCTCACGGCACAGTTTACCTTGCGGCACTGACGCTCGTACGAGATACGCCTACGCATTTCGGGTTCCCATACGGGAGACTTGTCCTGGCGGCGCTTTTGACCCTACGTTGCAACAGACCCCCCGGCACCAACAAGGCATATTCAGGATCCCATACGGGAGACTTTGCCCTGCGGTGAACTCCCCCATACGGCGCGATCAGCCCTGCGGCGTGATCGACCCCACGGTGTCAACATTCGTACGACATACGTCTACGCATTTCAGGTTCCCATACGGGAGACTTGTCCTGGCGGCGCTTTTGACCCTACGTTGCAACAGACCCCCCGGCACCAACCTCCGTACAAGGCGCATTTGCCGCATTCTCGGCGGCCTTACGGGACACCTGACCTGGCGGTGTTTATGGGACGTACGGAACCAACACCCATATTCCCATAGCTTTTAATCCCATACGGCATGACAAGGCCTTTGTAGTTCAAACTAGATACATGAGATCCGTACGGGTTATCCACCTTCGCCGAAGAAAAGTGACAGAATTCCTGATGATCAGGCCTCCAAAGCGGGGCACAAGCCCAACAAAGATATCCTGGTAAATTCCCTTCCATAAGCGCGCTAGTCATGTTGTACGCCACAATTAAGCGCAGTCAACGCGCGTTCATGCAACTGTCTTACAGGGTTTCTCATCCTTCTAATAGTTGGGAGATTTGTCACGGCAGATGGGAATGTTGCGAGGAACAATAAGGAATAGGATTTAACCGAGTTCGGCTCTCTAGGTCTACATCACACCCCATGACTCGATGTTTTGTTTGATCTACCTATGAGAACGCTTGGTGTCGTGCTGAGGGTAAACTTGGCGTAGCAATGTCAAAACAGCTTGATAATTCCTAGACACCTCAACCAAGACGTCACAATCCCACTCATTATCCCTACCATATACCCTGCCATCCTTGCCTAACCAAATATTCCGTAAAACGTTTTTCTCTAACAGACGCCCTTTTATGCAGTCGTAGGGAAGTTTGTTATATAAAATTGGCTCACAGGCATCGCATCCGTCAACATGGTGCTCCAATAAGTTCATGTAGAAATACTCCATTCGAGTCGGTTTTCGGGATATCGAGCGAACCACTGGCCTTGCAAAATGCACCCGTGGCGTGAACCGAGACTGGTTGGCGTATGGATGATCATGTGAATAATGGCGATCGTAGCTAGTACGCCGATCGTCATTAATGTTAGAATCATGGCTGCATGAGTATCGAGTGGGACAATGGCGTGCTGTAGCCACATTGGGAAACGTTCTGTATCGTGGAGAATCAGACATGATTGAATAAATCTATGCATACAATTTGCTTTACTACTACATGCTGAGATATCTGTGTAGATATATGCAACCTGGCATACACATACACCCATTCATAACCGGTTCCAGCATTTGACGGTTTACGAACCTAGATCACTCGCCGCGTTGCTGTGAACCGTTTTCAGTAGGCGCGGATGGCGCTAGTGAAGAATCGAGATGGTCATAGATGCGTTGGATCCACTCCGCCATCGCATCTACATCCTTTCGGAGGCTTTCAGATACAGCGACAGCTTCTGCCAATCGCCTATACATTTATCAGCCACGCGCCCCGATCTTTTTTTATGAACCACTTACCCTTCCAAATACTGGGTTCTCATCTGATGCTCGGCCCACAGGATTTGGACCGAGAACTCCAATGACTGAAGGGTTGGCATCTGAATGGTGGGGTCGTTTATGGATACAAAGTCCATAGCCGCGTCGTTGTTGATATCCATAGGAAGGTCAAGATTGTTGAAGTCCTGTGGATTTTGTTGTGTGTCTGCGACGAGAGGAAGTTCAAGGGCGTGGCCCTGACCAAGGAAGTAGCTGTTCTCGTTTATGGACTGGTTGCCCTGTTTCTCGGCTGGGTCAGGATGAAAAGCGTCGGTCGTTGGATTGAATTTGAAAAAGGATGGGTCTAGCTCGCCTTGAACGGAGCTTTCAGTTAGAGGCATGATCGGAATCGAGGATGAGCTTGTTGGTAAAGCGCTCTCGGTTTGGTAGTCTCTCAATTGTTCGTTGCTTGCCTGTCCAGTCATCTTGGTTGCTATTTGAGCGAGAAAACACGTTGATGTGGCTAGAAACTTTTCCAAGCATGGGTTTTAACACCTCATCATGTATACCGTGCCGCAATGCCAAGTAGAATATATTCTAATAATACTTTGAAGACTATGTAATGCAACTCTACGACTACGCCACACTTGGGCGCCAAAGTGATAAGCATTCCAACGGCACCAATTCAAGAAACGGTATTAGGTCACTGAAGTTGGGATCGCGTGCAATGTACCGATGCTGTTTCCTGTTAGTGTGGGTCAAAAATCATGGTTTTCACAACCACTGACAGGCTTCTCCAGCTTAGCGAGTGCGGGTATCGCTTTGTTGAACATATTATCGAGAAAGTCCACAAGAAGTTTGTAACCACTCCATTCCTCTCCTCTACCTAGTCCAAACATCTTATTAGATTCCCTTTGTTCGCGAATAACAGAAAGACTTCGTAAGTTCTCGTTCGGGAGTCCATTCATACACTCTAGTACCGCAACGCCAAGTTGCTCTAAATCGGCATTTGGTGTAAGGTCGGTGCTTATCCATACACAGTCCTCAAAATCCGCTAAACTCATGTTAATATCTAGAGGTAGTTTGGATGTTGCACTTACAGAGTTGTGGTTTTCCACTCCTCCCGCAGAAACGTATCGTGCTTACTGAGATAGAGTTGTGGACGATGCCGGCTTTAGCAATATGCTTTATGGCAAGGAAAATCTTCATGGTCAGCTTTGCAATTGCAACTAATAGATTGGCTTACTGCGCTTGCTATCAGTCGTATGTGAGGCTCTTTGAGGACGATGTGAACATTTAGTACTTCCTCTAGTGTGAAGCGAGTGTACTCATATTGAAAGTGCAAGAACGTCTTTGACTCGAAAACCTGCTTGATTGTGGCCACATTTGGATGATCAGATATTTTTTTCAGTTTTTCTAACTCCGCATGGCCAACTTCACGATTGACTTTCTTAACAATCACTAGTTGTCCCTCTTGAAGACATAGTGATAGCTTATGTTTTCCTTGCGTTAGATCTCCTAGATGTGACAAAGTCTCCCATGGGCTGTGTGTAACACCAACACTTGGCTCTTTTCCTCTTTTCAAGGATCGTTCCATAAGCGCCACCGCAGTAGGTACTTGCGGTCGCGGAAGGCGTTGAAACGCCTCTCCTATAGAAGTAGAAGTCATATCGAAATTACATTCCTGACCTAGCTCATGAAATCCGAAGTATGCTCAGGTGTAGATGAATTTGATTCAGGAATGTATGTGGCATCGGACATACTTATTCACGACTATTGTCACCTGGATTCTGATAGCAGAACACGGTGTTGCTGTTATGGATCCTAGAACTGGTCGGACGACCAGAAACGGATAACGGTTATCAGGTGTTCAAAGAGGAGAAAGACTATAAAGCTTTGGCCAGCAGCCGATGTAAAATCAACTCAGCACACAACCTTGCTACAACGAAAATTTTGATACAAACATTCTTGACCTATTCTTCATTACATATCGCAACTGTCATGGAGGTGGATATGGCTGGAACAGCTGTCCCCGTGGACTGGCCCACTCTCCTATGGCGACAGCAAGGGGAAGCGCAAGACGCTTCCAATATTGACCATAATCGCAACCCTGCCTGGACGATGCCAACGGCAAGTCCCATCCGGAATTGCGGGACAAGCATGCAGCCTGATCTGTACCTACAGCTATCGCACATACTTGAATGGGAAATCTGGAACCATAATCAGACGCGCGGCTATCTAACTACAGAACGGGATAAAGTTAGCGAGCTAAATGCGCAGGTTTGGAGACTATCGCGTGATATAGAGCAGTGGCGAGATGCATGTCAGCAAGGGTATGCTGCAATAGATCAGCACAGAGCTGAAAATGTCGAATTAAAGCGTGCATTAGCAGAAGCAAGGGTACGTGGAGTAGTTCCGCGCTTAGATCCAGCTAATGATGTTCTAGTCCATGCCAACCGAACGTCGTAGCGAGGACCCTCGGCTTAGTACTCCAGAGATGGCAACACCGCCGCAAAGGCGCAGTCTGCGAAAGCTTGCGCCACTGCCTAGGATCGAGACGGACGAATCTTCGTGGCGGCTTGGCTTCATTAAGGATATTGAGGAGCATGGTATTGCCAAATCTGTAGAGTAGTTATCTAAGAGAGGAGATTCACGCGATGCGACCTAGTTATGTGCAACATCACGTGAAACATGTACAAAACATCAGTTCAGAAGTTGAGAAAAGTTAGCACATTTCTGAGATAAGTTAGATCATTGCATTATGCGTCTGCATACTATACTTTCCGTGTTGCCCCTCTAGGTTTGTAGTCACTGTCATCCTTGTGACCGTCACCTTCTGGTAGCTCTGTCATCACCGCCGTTACCTCCACTAGCGTATACAAATCTTTCAGCGTGCTATCCAGAGTTTTTAGAATTTTTCGTTGCTTTGAACTTTGCAATTTCCTTTTAAGGTGAGGTAGGGTCTTCTTGAACTCGCAATATAACTTTTCTGCAACTTGTACGGTCACGGTGTGCTCATTCCGTTGAATGCGCCCCCTTGCTTTGGTCATCATTTTGTCGAATTTCTTGACTTCCTTGTTTTTGGCAAGGCACTCGATAGCCTGGGTGGACTTCCAAAGATTTTGAGCATCGGTCCAAATTTTTTGCGCAGTCGTCTTGTTCGTCTTTGCGAGACATGTGTCGGACCATTGTACCATACCGTCCATTACACGTAAACGTCTGGATCGAACGCGAGATTGTGAGCCTGCCCATGTGCGTTGATCGGTGGTAATATCCGATGGCAGTTCGCTGAGATCGCTGACGTCGCTTAAGTCGCTTGAGTCTTCTATAACAATCGCTTCCCCATTATTTGTGTCAGTAATGATGGGTGTTCGAGATCGAGCGCGAGGTTGTGGGCCTTCCCGCGGACGTTGATTGGTGGTAATATCCGGAAAGTCACTGAGATAGCTGGCGTCGCTGGCGTCGCTTGATCCTTCTATAGCAATCGCTTTTGCATTACTTGTGTCAGTAATGATGGGTGTTTGAGGTCGAGCGCGAGCTTGTGAGCCTTCCCATGGACGTTGATCCGCGGCGATCTCTGGTGCCAATTCACTAGCGTTACTAGCGCCGCTATAACCACCTGAATCTTCCATTACCATAGCTTCTCCGCTATTTGTACCAGTGATTAGGGGTGTCCTAAATTGAACGCGATGTTGTGAGCCTGCCCGCGAGCTTTGTTCCGCGGTCATGTTTAACGTCGAATCTCCGAAGTCGCTAGAGTTACTCGAGCCTTCTATGATCATCACCTCTCCATTGATTGTTTCGGGAGTAGGCGCAGAACCGTTCAAGAACTGCATCTGCTCAGTAAAAGCTGACGGAGCTCCCTGTGGCTCAACGTGGGAAAGGCTGCGGTGACCACGAATGAGTGAGTTGTTCCTGGTCTCTTTCAGAAAATCAATGGCATCATCAGGCATATTGACACCCTCTTGGTATTCGGTTGACGTTTCTCTTGGGCGAATTCCGGAAGGGCTTCCTATATCAGGCATTTCGAACCCTTCCACTAGGAACAGGAACTCATCAGTATCTTGATTCCCAAGGCTACTTCCTGTGACAGCCTTGTCTTCGTCGAGAAAATTGTCTCTTATGGTGTCGCAGGGCACCCCCTCGAGTTCCAACGCCCAAAAGGCGTCATCCCAGTAGGTCGAAGTTTCTGTAGAATCGGCGGGATGGCCTTGTAGGTCGGAAAGGAAGTCTTCTGGGTATGCCTCTTGGCCCCCGTATGGTTTCTCCATGTCATAGATCTCCATGGATGACTCTATGACACGGCTGATCGAACAAGCAATTGGTTCGTATGCATTTTCCTCCACTACTCCTTGTGAGTTGTCCTCTTTTCCGGGCGGTAGACTCGCACTTCCGCTTTCCGCCGTTATGAAAAGCCTTTGATCTTCGTGTGAGAGGGTCAAGACGTCTTGATGCTCGATCGTTGGTGTTTCTGGCGGCTGGGTGGGCTGTCCGAACACCATGCATGGTTTCATAGCAGCATCGAATATCTGATATGTTCAGCTAATGAAATCCGACAAAGTGGTGGGGAAAAGTACATACCTCGTTCCCTGGGTCTAAGATGCCTTCATTATAGGTCCAACATTCTTCATGCAAATAGGAGTCGATTTCAGGCATGCCAAGTATGGACATTTCGGATAACACGGTAGCATATGACGAATGGGCCGTGTGTAGCTCCGTCGTCTGAGGCAGTACCGCTATGACAGGGTGCTCGTGGGCATCTGAAGGTAGCGCCATAGTCAAGGTTTGTATCGAAGGAGTCTGATAGGTAAGGGTTTATTAAAGATTGTTCATAGGTGTGAGGATTGTTAAGTAGGTGTTCTGTCCAGGCAACGGCATGCTTTATATAAAAATGAAGCAAGGGTTGAACTTGAGCAGGTATGCTCGCTACGTCTCATCAATGTAACGCATGACACGTCGTTTCTATCACACCTAGCACCACTAGCACGAATCACATAGCTGCCTGCCCGACCCTTACTGCTATTAATGGTAAGTTTAGCCTAACGCCTTGCTCTTGCATGAAGACGCTATGGCTTTGGACAAGTCGTATCCTATCAACTTATCGAAATCCTAGAACGCAGCTACTAAAAATATGTGATGAGATTGTTGGGAAGGCTTGCATGGAGAGTTTGCCGCTGTCAATGTCATGAGACCTACAAGACTACTCTATTTTCTAGCCTCCAAAGGCGGCTGTGATTCGATAGCCCCCTTTGCATGAATGAAATGGCTCCACTTGTATTATCCGTCCTATTAAAATGCTTTAAGTGAACGGAAGAAACCCAGAGGGCCGGCATTGCCGTGACATTGGCAAGGCAGACATGGTACTTCGCATAAGATTCGTTTCACTTGAGGCTAGCCTTGACATTTAGTGACACTCAGTCACTTTTCGATTGCTAAAGTAAATCAATCATTCGCTGGGAGCATACAAGACGTACACGTAGTCGCAGTCTTCATACTTACGCGCGCGCAACAGATCTGTGTACTAAAGGCGTCTTAGTATCAATCATCAGTTTCATATATAAGGTGCATCTTCCTTTCTCTTCACTAGAATTTGGTATCTCCTAAAGCTATCTGTCTAGGATCATGTCTACTTCGAGTTCTCTTCTTGATTGTACGGCTTATCCTACTCATATGTGCGTTTCAAATGAACATCATTTCCTTTGGCCTACTAACTACTATCTAGTGACGAAGCGTTATATTTCACGTTCGAATGGGAAAATGAAGGCGGGACCGCAATCATACAGAAAGCTCTGTCCTTGCATACTTCGAGTACTGTGAACGAAATGTCCCTGAAAAGCCGCTCAACGCTCCTCCTAGCCCCATCCCTCGAATCACCTCAGAGGGCTTTCAGCAGCACTCATAACTCGCTGGAAGGCCAGCATTCACAATCCCGAACTCCGCTTTGTCAACTGGATTGGCTACAACACGATGATATATGGGAGGTGCGTGTCCTGGCATCCTGCGAACGACTCGTCATCAGTTCCAGTCAAATCGGATTTCAGATGCGTTTCAAGCCACAGAAGCTGTCTGCGCATACTGTTCTGGGATTAGCCGTCCAGGTCGGCAAGAACCCCGGTGATATGATACAATCGGTTAATGAAAGAAGCGATTCGGGAGACTTTCATCGCGACATAAGTGCTGCATTGACTTCTGGGGACGATATACAGGTAGAGTGGAAGGATGAAATAATGTGCTTTGATGAAATTTTCGATCGAAAAGCAGATACACTTGTGCTAGACTATGTCTTGAAGCAACTGCGAAGGACTTTTCTTATCATATTCCTTTCAGCTTCGTGCTTTTTGTTTTTCTTTTATGTCATCTAATTTTGCTGTAAATCTGTTTACACTTTTCAAACTATAGGACTAGAAATATTGGCTTCGCTTTGTGAGCGTGTTTTAGGGAGACACTTCTTAAATTTCTTCAACCTCTTACACAGGCAGAATACAAGCAGCCCCGTCACAAGTATAAGAATGATACTAATGATGCCGATCAAGACTGGCCCATGGAAACTCCTTTGATGTGTCTTCTTCTGAGACGATGTCGTCACCTTAGGTGATAATTTACTGCCAATTCTAACCCTCTTTTCTCTTGTTAGTACAACTAGCTGCATTGTTCTTCAAAGTTTATACGAACCATATGTAGATAATGCTTAGAGGTTGAATGCAGACACGTGGAGGGTTTAACGATCAGCCTGTTTGACGTCGGAGATTAGTGCTAGAGTCGGTATTTAATATGCCACGTAACTTACTGGTGTGAGGTTCTAAGCTTGTCTATCTTAATTCAGACGTATTTAGTGGTTTGCTAGGTCGCTTTCAACGACATGTAATGAAGTAACGTCCCCCCCTGCGACACGCAAGTCCCCCCATGCCGCAAAGAATCTGCGATTTGAGGATCTTAAAAGTCACGCTATCGCTAGTATTGCTCCGCGATAATGAAACACTTATTTTTAAGGTTATTCTCTACAAACTCAGAAGAGCGACTAGAAATATTACCGCGTGTTTGGTCTTGTTGTCGCCCATTCCGTATCGGCCAGTCTAGGGTTGACCGGCTTCACACCCCTGTCGTAGCACGATATATACAATATTACTATATATCAGAGAGACATAACTATAGTAATATAAGAGAAGAAGACATTTTTACATTTATTGAAAGTCTTGTCTTTGAAAAAGTTGTATTCCAGACTTGTCCGAGTTATGGCCGTGATTCTGTTCTGTTCGCTTGTAATTTTGGCGTGCTTATGTGATAGCGCATCAGTTCATGCTAGGTCGGATCGGGCCAAAGTGTGGCGTTCAGTTCTCGAAGCATCCATCTGATCACGTGCTGATCTATTTCTGGCATCAGAGCGCGTTCCTTTGTCTTCCGAGCGGCGTGGTAGGGAGGGTGGGTGTCTGCCGTGGTGGCCTTGGTGGCAGTACTCACTATACTACTGAAGATGGTGAGCCAGTCCTTGGACTAATTCGATTGATGGAGAGTATGGGAGAAAGTTCGTATATAATTGAGGTTGGATTGGTGCAACAGAGGTAAAGATGGGGTGGGGGACAGCGGGTGGGAGCCAAGACTAGCATGGGCGGCGGGCACTAGGTGCTGACTGTTAGTTTGGCAGCACCGGTGGCGGGGGAAAAGCACAATAACAATGACAATTATAGAAACTGGGAATGGGGAGTGAGAGAGCCAGGTAAGGACAGGCGTACCATGGTACAAGCCCTGGCCTTGTGCGTGCGTGTGCGTGGCCGCAACGGACCCATGACACATGGGCGTCAGCATGTCTTGTAAGCCACACGGGGGAGTGGGAGTGGGAGTGAGGTGATGG